GGCTGTATGGTGCTAAAACAGTAACTTTACTCTTTGTTGTGGTCTTGATGTGACTAAAATCACTGTTGTTTCCCCAAAAAACCTGTTGATCACGTGGAACATAGGAAAGTAATAAAAGGTAAATGACCAAATAGGTCTCAGCGCTAAGCTAGCAGGCAGCTAGCAGCTGCTTAGAGCGTTACTCTAACAAGTGTGTGGTTTCTGACATCACACAATGTTGTACATCAGCCTACAACATACTGGTAGATGAATACAAACTGGGTTTTTTGGGGTGTTTTCATTCTCAGTGCAGTGGGACTATTTTTGGATTATATTAGAGTTAATAAACGGATTTCCTCCCATCATGCTGATTTAAAGCTCCTCTTCAAAGTTATTCGAGGGTTTACATCAGTCAGCTGGGACCACACGGGACCTTTAACGAACAAAACCTGTTTATTTATATTGAGTCTCAAAAACACTGGAGTTAAGTTGTGCTGCGGTACTGTGCGTGTGATGGGCCGCCTGTGCAGCAGGTTTTTAATTCCACCACTTACATGGTTTCATCGCTTGAATGTTTTTTATATTGTTGGAGTTGAAATGGATGCTAAGCTTTGTGTTCATGTCCAAGGTCAAGAAGCTTCGTCAGTGACCCTCTTCCATGATGTTTCTGTACAGCTGCATGCAGTCTTGCTTGAAGTTGACTCCAAATTAAAAGTGTTTTTGCGTTTTTTCCAGGTGTTGTCGCCCACAGAGCAGAGCACCCCATCGCCGCTCTCTCCAGACTATCGAACGAAGGGCCAGGCACATGAGAAGGAGCATTTTCACATCCTTCCTCAGCTGCAGGCCAAGAGGGCGGACTTCCTCACTGTCATGCTGACCGGCACCTTGCCTCAGCGCCGCAGCTTTGCAACGCCAGAAGAAGAAGTCCCTGAGCCTCCAGGGCCAAAGGATGATGACGTTACAAAGAGTGAGTCCAACAGTGAGGCCAGTCAGAAGAGCACTGAACGTAGCCAGGACGCTGCACCTTCCACACTCATGGCTGAGGACCAGAGGGGGCAGAGGGAGCACGCCTCAGCTGCTGATGCAGACCCTGACCTGGAGGACGCATCTAAAACCCTCGTCCTGTTCTCACCGGGAGACACTCGCAAGTCTCCTTCTGGTGCTGATCATGTTCTAGAGGGTGAGTTAGCCACACCATCTGCTCTGACGTCCCGTAATGACCGCCTGCTGGGCGCAGAGGTGATTCAGACTGAACCCTCCGAGACTGGCCGTTTGTCCCCAGCTCTCAGGTCAGATCTGAGGCCTTCCACTCCCATCGCTCCTGCATCACCTCCCTTCACCAAAGTGGAGCGCACTTTCATTCATATTGCAGAGACATCACACCTCAATGTCATGTCTTCCAATGGTCACTCTGCCAAGGAGAGTGACCGGGAAGTGTCTGCCATCATGAAAGAATCAGTTCTAGAGGTTGATAGCCAGGAGCAGGAAGGAGCCCCCGTATCAGAGGAGACTCCACTGGAGCCTGTACCAGACCAAAATGTACCAGCTGACAAACATCCCAAAACTGAGAATGGTCCGTCAACTGTCCTGGCACAGTCTTTGGAGCCTGTCCCAGAAGCAATGTTGCTACTGAATGAACATAAAGATGTGTCACAAGAACCTAAGAAACAGCTATTATCCAGTGAAGAAGCTGCCAAGCTTCAGATAGTCGAATCAGACAATGCTGCCATTAAACCCAGAATCCGAAGCCGCATCCCAGTGCTCATCTCTGAAGAGGACTCAGGCTCAGAGCAGTCCTCCTCCCTCTCAGCTCGGGCTCGGCTTCAGCAACGGGCCAGACAGCTGGACTTGGCCCGTCTGCTGGTCCAGAAGCAACAGGGTCGATGGATGAGGAGGAGGATGCTGTCTGGGACATCATCATCATTGTCTTCTGGGGATGATGAGCGTCGCAGGGCTTCTGAAACTTTGTCCACCACTGGCTCAGAGGAGGACACGCATACCTCAGATGAGTCCAGGAGGAGCTCCCGTCTCAAACCAACTGATGAGCAAGGCTCCCAGGAGAGCAGGAGCAAGATCCCCAGGCCCGTCACCCCCATAAAGAGGCCCTCAGGAGGGTTTGCTACCGCTGCGCCTTCTCCACTCTCCTTGCCAGATTCTAGCTCTACCAAAGGAGCGTCATCCTTTAATAACGGGTATGATTCAGTTTCGACCTTTGAGCGTACAAAGAATTTAACTTTAAAGCTGTTTGATTGAACACTTTTGCTTAAAGAAATAACACCTTTGCTGTATTCTTGTGTCCACAGGAACCAGAAAATTGGTCTAAGCACTCTCAGCACCCAGCGGAAATCCAAGCCTGTCTCATCCAGAGCCTCGTCCTCATGTCCCCGTGCCTCGACTGTTCCTGCCCCGTCTGGAAGCCCTCGAATGCCCCTACGAGTCTTGTTTGGAACCCGACGCAGCCTTAGCTCCACCCACTGCAGGACTGACAGTCCCTCCCCTCAGAGAGTATGCCCATCCAGGCAGCCCCTCTCGGTTCGAGCCCCAACTGTCCCCATGCTACCACCTAGGACTACAACAACCATGCGGCGCAGCGCCTCACAGGAAGCCACTGTGCAGTCCTCCTCTGCCACCACGCCAACCAGAACCAGGCCAAAGGCAGCTGGCACAGCTAAGGGGAAACTGAATGCCAGGGAGAAGGCAGTGCCCGCTAGATAATACAAAGAGACTCACGTCTGAGACATGTTTGTGTATAATCAGTCTTCGGACACGCTACGCCTCAAAGGTTTTCACCTGATTCCATTATAGGCTGTGATGTTACCATGACCTCCTTCAATTCATTTAACGTATACAGACATCTTGTTTTTTCCAAGGACAGCTGACTGAACTGTCTTCATGGGCTTCCAGTAATCTTGACTGACTGTTGTACAGGAGCATTGCTGCCACGGTGCTATGGATACGTCTGCTGCTCCCTGGTCAATTCCTGGTTTCACATTTAACTGGTTTCTGGAGCTAATAATCATGGCCTCCAACAAATCCAGTTTCAGATACTTTCACCTAACACAGTACTCCCAGCTTTCCACAGCTATACTACTCTTCTATAGACAATACCCTGCTTGGTTCACATTGCATGGTAAAGTATATCACAAATACATTGAATCTGTAGAGGAAAAATGACATGTACAAAAATCTGTACCTTTAAATTTTTTGGTATAGTTCTCCCTTCCTATTGGCCAAAAAGAAAAAAAAAAGAGATTAAATTAGATTTCTTTGAATGCCCGAACTATGTTAATATGATCAAAAAAAATCCTAACAGTAACCTGTACTCATTATGGCCTTGGATAAAGAGAAGAGTTAGATGTGAACACAAAATAAATAGCTCGGCCGCTCGCCTCCTCCTCATGGTGTAACAATGGGCATGCTTTAATCATTCTATTTTCTGGGTGTTTTTATTTTGTTTATGCTCTGAATTGTACATAATAGAATCATTTCCCATAAAGACATCTTTATTTTTTATCTTGGCAAGCAAAGTGTAAATTAACTCTTTAACCTTCTGTTCCAATGTGTTGGCACTTTGCCTGTTTTTTATGCATGAGAAAAACAGGGTTAACCATGAGAGGACGTTATACCTGCTTGGATTATGCTGACAGTGCAAAGGTGTGCTGGTTGTTGGAGCCCATGCTGTGTTTGTACGGGCTCTCTGGGCACTGAGCTGTGAAGTAAAGTCTTGGTCATGTGGATGGGTGTCTTCTCATTCTTGTCTATGTTTTTTACCAGTGAAGAGCCAAGATGGTCTCGGTCCACCAGAGAACATCAGGACTCAGCCCAGGCTGTAGGTCTGCGTCAACAGGAACCTACATTTCCACACACACTGTGTTACCCATAGTCCTCATGCATATTGTGCTGTAGTGGGGTGTTAATCAGTGTTCTGGTGTACGGTGGGCTCACCGACACACAGCTTGCATCTGTGAAGGTGGACCGACCCAGAACATTGGCAGAGTTACACATTTTATAGGGATGGCAGAGGGGAGGGAGGGTCAGTATGTAAATACCTGGTGCATTGTGGTTAGTTCGTATATAGTTGCTAATCAGTGACAGGAGGTGAGAGGACAACGGGTGATCGAATCAGGGGCTCTGATAGACAACAAATGGTCAGAGAATGAGGGTCTGGCAGACCGTTACAGAGGTAACTAGAGAAGCCCTCTGAGAGCTCAGACCTCCTCCAAGCAGCTCGTTTCCACCATGTGGTGATCTCCAGCTGATGATAAAGTCCTGATTCATTTATCTACACTGCTAGCTTCATGGAGAATCAGAACATAGCTTTAGCACTAAGTTAGCATTGATAACATTAACAACAAGCTGACGGAGTGATGGACGCTCGTTCTGGACTCTGCAATATTTTTTACACTTATTCCTGCAGTTCCTTACTGGCTTTAAGCTGCTAGCTAACGCTATGCTAGGTCGGCATAACTACAGTGAGGCTATTGCTAACATAAACAGACAGGGAGTAGCTTAAGCTAGGTTAGCACAACTTTAGCAACGTAAATGAATGTGTTCTTTCATAGTTTTGATGTCTTCAGTGTTAATCTGCAATGTAGAAAATAATTAAAATAAACAAAAACCACTGAATGAGAAGAGGCTGCAGGTG